CTTCACTGCTCACAGCAACCTCCAACTCCTGGGCTCAAGCGAGTCTCCTGCCTCAGCCTCCCAAGTAGCTGGGACCACAGGCGCCTGCCACAACACCTGGCTATTTTTTAGTTGCAGCCATTATTGTTGTTTGGCAGGCCCGGGTTGGATTCGAACCCGCCACCTTAGGTGTATGTGGCTGGAGCCTTAGCTGCTTGAGCCACAGGCGCCGAGCCTACTGAAATTCTTCTAATTGAACACTAAGAGTACATTTTATTGTAAACCATACCTCAACAAAGTTGATTTTAAAACATGTGAGGTCAAATCTATTAAGAGTAGAGTATAAATGTCATAACATATTAAGTAGGTAAAGGTTATGTTAACCAGTTTGATGTGAGCATTCTAAATTGTATATAAAATCAGCACATTGTACCACATAAATGCATTAATATATGCAGTTATGATTTAATAAAAATAATGCTTTGGAATGTAGACTTGGTTTTGATGGTTTTAATTTTTAATCTACTTTATGGAGCTATAATTTACATATAATAAAATTGACCCATTTTGAGTGAACAGTTAAAAATAAATAAATAAAACATGTGAGGTGCACAGATTTCCAATAAAAATGATCTGAAAAAAATTATATAACTTTGAAAAAATGGCTTATTCAATAAATGGCAATAAGACAACTGGCCAATAAAAAGCATTTGAAAAACCAAAGTTAAACCCTACCTCATAGTTTATACAAATTCCTGATAGATTAAAGACTTAAATGTAAAAACAAAATCAAATAAGTATTAGAAAAGTATATAAAGGAGGACGGCGCCTGTGGCTCAAAGGAGTAAGGCACCAGCCCCATATATCGGAGGAGGTGGGTTCAAACCCAGCCCTGGCCAAAAACTGCAAAAATAAAAAAAAAAAAAGAAAAAGAAAAGTATATAAAGGAACAACTATATAAATCTGAGGCAGAAAGGGTTTTCTACACATAAAAAGTAAAGGAAGATTTGACTGTAAAAAAAGGAAAAGAAACCCTTTTGTAAATTATTAATTATCTTAAATATGATACAAAGTAAAATATGGATCACAAGCCAAAGAATTAATATCTGATAAAGAGCTTTACCAACCACCAAAAGATGAATACAAAAAAAAAAAAAAAGATGAATACTGCTGGAGGAAAAATGGACAGGAAATAAGAATTTCACAAAAGAATTCAAGACAATGAACTTATGAGAAAATAAAACCTGATATACATACACATACACACACACACAAAGGATGCCCTTTTCTCATCTATTAACTTGGCAAGAATTTTCAAATTAGATAATAATATGTGAGCAAAAGTGTGGCCAAACAAACAGTTGGACGTACTACTGATAGGTATATAAAGTGGCACAATCTAGATGTAATCTTTGCTTCTTACGAAAAATTTAAGTTTGTGTATTGCAATACTTTGGTTTCCTTAACATGAAGGAATTGATGTCTGCATCAATGGGTGTTTTACCTAATAGCACATGTATATTTTTACACACCAGTAAAACAGATGTACTCATTTTCTTTAACTTCTGCATAATATTCCATTGCATGAATGCACCATAACTGATTTAGCCAGTTTCCTTAATGGATATTAGTTTGCTAAGACAGATTGAGTATTGCTTATCCAAAATGCCTGGGACCAAAAATGTTTTGGGTTTAAGAATATTTGCATTATATACTTACTGGTCATACATCCTTAATCCAAAAATCGAAAATGCTCCAATGAGCATTTTCTTTTTTTTCTTTTTTCTTTTCTTTTTTTTTTTGCAGTTTTTAGCCGGGGCCGGGTTTGAACCTGCCACCTCCAGTATATGGGGTCAGTGCCCTACTCCTTTGAGCCACAGGCGCCACCCTCCAATGAGCATTTTCTTTTTTTTTCTTTGAGACAGAGCCTCAAGCTGTCCCCCTGGGTAGAGTGCTGTGGCTTCACAGCTCACAGTAACCTCTAACTCCTGGGCTCAAGCGAGTCTCCTGCCTCAGCCTCCCAAGTAGCTGGGACCACAGGCCCCTGCCACAACACCCGGCTATTTTTTTGGTTGCAGCCATCATTGTTGTTTGGCAGGCCCGGGCTGGATTCGAATCCACCACCTTAGGTGTATGTGGCTGGCGCCTTAGCCACTTGAGCCACAGGTGCCGAGCCATGCAGTTTCTTTAAGTGTCACATTGGTGTGCAAAAAGTTTCAGATTGTGGAGCATTTTGGATTTCTGATTTTCAGATCAGGGGCACTTAATTTGCATAAATCAAAGACTTTAAAATCTATACCCTCCCCCTTAACCCAGAAATCTTGCTTATAAAAATTTCTTCAAAGAAAGCAACAAAATATATATGCTAATACTCGGCTGTGAAATCTATAATAATTAGATTTAGTATTCATCTAAATACCCAATAATAGCAACTTGTTAAGTACAATATAATATATTCACGTAGTAGAATATTATTTAGCCATTGAAAAGTGTATTATCAGACCAGAGTTAGTAAATTTTTCCTGTAAATGGCCAGATAATAAGTACTTTTAGTGTTGAGGGCCATATAGTGTCTGTGCCAATAGCACAATTCTGCTGTCGTAGCAGGAAGGTGCCACAAACAACATACAAATGAATGGGTGTGGCTATGTTCCAACAAAACTTTATCTATAGACACTGAAACCTGAATGTCATATAATTTTCACATGCCTTAAAATAGTGTTCTTCTTTAGATTGTTTCCAACTATTTAAAGGGGCATAGGCCATTTTAGGTCAAAGGCTATACAAAAACAAATGGCAGGCAGAATTTGGCCCATGGTCTGTAGTTTGCAGAAAAATTTTGAGAGAAAAAGAGTGGTGGCAGCATAGTTTTAGAATCTCCCTAAATGCCACCCTTCTCCCCACCCCCCACTTCTCCCCCCCAAAAAACAAAAACAGGAAAGTTAAGTAGGGCAAGTAGGAGAGATAAACCAAAATCCACCAACACAATCTACAGAAAAACTAGATGAAAACAATTCCCCCATGGACCTTAAAATAAAAATGGGTAGGGACAGACCAGAGATAAGACCAAAATGGTATCTGCTGTGTAAGAGTATATAGAGGGAATCAACATAGCAGCCGATAGATCTGAAAACTCTAAAATAACTCACTCAAACTTCAGCAAACTAATTTATGAGCAATAACTGAGACT